AGCATGAGTTTTAAGCCACCAGGTCCGGGATGCGAACCGCGGTCGACTACGTGGGAGTCCAGCGACATAGCCATTACGCTAACTGCTGGTTCCCCCTTTACCATTTCTTAATTGGAAGCATCCCAATCACTACAATCCATTTATCCAGGTCACCTGACTAAATGGCAGATCAATGTGAGAAAACAACTCATGCAAATTCCACGCACGCTGGATGGCTGTCATGATACTGAGATTATTGGTTTTTTTTTTTTTTTTTTTTTTTGGAGAGGTTTTTGCTATAGGGCGCGTGCGCTCGCCAGACAGATAGAGAGAGACAGAGAGATAGAAAGCAGGAAATCAACCCCCAGGGGGGATGGCCACGCCGCAATCCCTTCTCCTCCATTCTCCTCTCGGGATCTTGGGCATGCACGCACACGCGCCCGGCGTGAGTTTAAGCCACCGGGTCCGGGACTCGAACCGCGGTCGACTATGTGGGAGTCCAGCGACATAGCCATTACGCTAACTGCTGGTCCCGAGATTATTGGTTTTAAAAGGCTAGGTGGTCACTGATGGTCTCAGAAATTCAAATGTTCAACTCCAGTTCATGGAATTGTATGTTCATTAAACTTCTATAGTCACTTTTCCAAAGACATAATCTTGCACTTGTTTTCTCTATTGCCTTTTATTTTATTACTAAAATATATTGGTATTTTTTTTTTTTTTTTTTTTGGAGAGGTTTTTGCTATAGGGCATGTGCGCTCGCCAGAAAGAGAGAGACAGAGAGACAGAAAGTGAGAAATCACCCCCCAGGGGTGATGGCCACGCTGCAATCCCTTCTCCTCCATTCTCCTCTCGGGATCTTGGGCATGCACGCACAAGCACCTGGTGTGAGTTTAAGCCACCGGGTCCGGGACATGAACTGCAGTTGACTACATGGGAGTTCAGTAACATAGCCATTACGCTAACTACTGGTCCCTCGGTCATTTAACTGAAATAGAGTCCAGAATTTTTTCACCATGATACATTAAATCCATTCTTCCATTGACATATATTTCTACTGGCTAAGACACATTAGAATTAGACTTCATAAAGTAAATTATGTAAATAAATTAATATTTTAAAAATGTTTTCAATCACAAAGATGAATGCTCATAATATTTAAAAAGTCAAGAAATACACCAGGCACAAAAAAGAAAAGGCAAAATAATAATCATATTAATTAAGAATATACATCTTGGGACCAGCAGTTGGCATAATGGCTATGTCAATGGACTCCCATGTAGTCTACCGTGGTTCTAGTCCTGGATCCAGTGGTTTAAACTCAAGCCGGGTGCGTGTGCGTGTGTGCCCAAGATCCTGAGAGAATGGAGGAGAAGGGATTGCGGCATGGCCCTCCCCCCTGGGGGGTGATTTCTCGCTTTCGGTCTCTCCGTCTCTTTCTGGTAAGCACATGTGCCCTATAGCAAAAACCTCTCAAAAAAAAATATATATATATACATCTTTATTATTGAGTAAACATCATTCCAAATACATGATAAATTAGGATAGAACTTAAAAATTTTATAAAAAGGAGTCTTACAATAAATGCTTTTACAGACTGATAAATTTAGTTTTACCTGGGGTTAACAGGAGGGGAAATAGAAAATAAAATTGAGGGGCCGGTAAGTGGCATGGTAGATAAGGGCACTGACTTCCACATGGCTCACTGTAGTTCAAGTCCCAGACCAGGCAGCTTGCTTTCTCACTTTCCTTCTTTCTCTCCCTCTCTCGTCAATTAAAATAAATAAATAAATAAAGTTAAATAAAATATTTTTTGAAAAAGAAAATAAAATTGAAGGGCTTGTTAAATTTCAAATGAGTGTTTCTTTACTAAGAATGAGGAGCCTAAAAGTTCCCTCAAAAGTTCCCTTTTTTTAATTAAAAAAGGTAATAAAGGCTATCAGGAGGCTGTCATTTATTTCAATCATATATAAGTACTGATGACTTTTCTATGAAAAATAAGAAAATCGGCTTTATGATCTTACCTTCTCTAGATTTTCGTTACATAATTTATTCAATATTCTAAAGATGACAGCATTTACTTTCTACTCTGAAACCGTAATTCCCACAGTTCTTTGCATGTAGCACCAGCTTTGAATGAATTTAAATGAAGTCATTTCAGCCACATAGTTCTTATCCCAATGAAAGTAGCAACTGCATAAATAAATATATGATTTGTGCATTTTTCCAATGAGCATACCAACATGTATATGGATCAGACTTTAAAAATAGAGTGGTGTTGACAAGTGACTTAAAAAATTTTGGACCCTTTCTTACTGATTTAGGTTCAGACTCATGTTTTAAAGTAGCTCATTGTTACCGTATTGAACGCATTTATGGAAGATTTGGAAAACCTGGTAAAACAATTAATAAGCCATGTTTGAGTGAAATCCTTGCCCTTGTATTCTATTACCCCATTTACTAGATCTGAAACAACCCAGAGCTTAAGACTGAATGAGAAGTTGATTTGTAGGTCGTCCTCCCTCTCCGTTGCTTGACCACTGAATAACGCTTGAGCACTGACACTTTGTAAATCGGCTCTGCAACAGATAATGGGAAGGAGCCCAGCTTGGGGAATAAATTAAAAATCAGTAACAGCTGGGTTTACAGTCAACTTCTAGAAGGTTGAAATGGCGAATTATTCTAAAACCTAGGGATGACGTGATGGACCCCCTCCGAGTCAAGGACCCGAAAAATAAAAATGGGGCGGGGCTGCCCGGAGACTCACAGGGGGCCAAGGAGAGAGCAAGGCGCTAGATGGGCTGATCCCAGGAGGAAGGAAACGCGGGCGGGCGGGGTTGGGGCCCCGGGGAATGTCGCCCTAACAAGGTCGCCCCGGGGGAGCCAGCCAGGGAAGGGCTCACCAGGGAAGGTGGCCCCTGGGAAGGGCGCCGGGAAAGGGCGCAGCCACCCATCCCTATGTCCAGCACTCCGTGGTTACTTACCCTCGCCTGGCAAACGGGGGAGCTTGCGGGCGTCCCACCCGGGAGCTCGCAGGTGGGAGCCGGGCTGCTCACGTTCTCCACTCTGGATCGGTGCACTGGGCCAGCCGGGGGCCAACTGTCGCCGACCTTAGCACTCTCCCGTCTCGTAGCAACGCGGTGGAGCTACCGCAGAGGTCGGCTTCCTCAAGCCCCGCCCAGAACACTAGGCCCCGCACCACGCCGCTGGGATATTGTGCAAGTCTGGGGTTAAATGGCTGCTGGACCAGGTTGTCCTCAATGTAGATCCCAGGGTGGAAGTCTTTCAAGTGGGTACCTCTGAGTGGAGGCAGAGTGTGAAATGCTTGTTCCCTGCCTCTTGAATCCCAGACCCAAATCCCTAGGCAGGCAGATGATAAATGGAGGCCTCCGGTGTTGATGGCTCCTGATAGTAGATACTGTCTATCGCTTTGGGGGATTAAATGGCTCAGTCAATCCCTGTGGTCCAGCATAGTGCCTGATAATTAAAGTCTACAATGAATATCTGATGCCTTCTTTTTTATAATATTATATCTTTGTTACTTTTTAAAAAGTTTATCTTTTCTATGAGTGAGAGAGAGAGACAGAGATAGTATCCCTACACAAGCTCCACCTCCAGCTCAGTCCCCTCATCTCCATAAACATGAGCATACTGGTGCAGGCAGGGGACCGGAACCAGGACCTTCCCATGTGTGTCAGCACTGCAGAGCGATGCATTTTAACACTGTGTTAATGACTGGTCCCTTTCATTATTATTTTCAAAATGCCATTTATTGGGACCAGCAGATGGTATAATGGTTATGTGGCTGGACTCCCATGTAGTTGACCGCGGTTCAAATGCCAGGCATGTGTGCAGGCATGCCCAAAATCCTGAGAGGAGAATGGAGGAGAAGGGATTGTAGTGTGACCATTCTGCATAGGGGGTGGGGGTGGGGGTGGATCTCTAGTTTTCTGTCTCTCTGGCAAGAGTATGCACCCTACAGCAAAAATCTCTCTTTAAGAAAAAATACCATCTATTGGGGCTAGCAGATGATGTGGCAGTAATGTTACTGGACTCCCACATGGTTGACGTGGTTCGAGTTCTAGACCCAGTGGCTTGAAAATCACGCTGGGTATGTGTGCATGAGTGCCAAAGATCCCAGAAAGATAGTGGAGGAGAAGGGATTGCAAAGTGGCCATCCCCACTGGGGGGTTGATTTCTCACTTTTCCTCTCACTGTGTCTGTATCTCTCTCTCTGGTAAACACATGCCTCATAAGGCAAAAACCTCTAAAAAAAATGCCCTCTATTAATCTTTTTTTTTTTTTTTAGGGGGGGAGGCTTTTGCTATAGGGCGCGTGCACTCACCAGACAGACAGAGAGAGACAGAGAGACAGAAAGCGAGAATTCACCCTCCAGGGGGAATGGCCACACCGCAATCCCTTCTCCTCTGTTCTCCTCTTGGGATCTTGGGCATGCATGCACACGTTTTAAGCCACTGGGTTCTGGACACGAACCGTGGTTGACTACATGGGAGTCCAACAACATAGCCATTACGCTAACTGCTGGTCCCTCCCTCTATTAATCTTTTAGTGAAAAGTAATCAGAATCATGACATTAGAGTTTGAACGTAGAGTCATCAGGATTGCTATTAAATTAAAGAGTGAGCAAAAAAGAGACAGTGGTGTACTGGTGCCAGCTCATTAGGGCTCAAGAGAATCAAAGGTTAAAGCTTTAGCAAAGTTCAGGAACTGGCAGGTGGCGCGGTGGTTAAGGTGCTGGACAAGTTCAAGTCCTGGACCTGGTGGCTT